CGATCATACATATTGTACATATCTTTAAATATAGTTTGAATTGAAGATTATTTTTGTTCTTCATCATGATTTAAAGACAAGTCAATGAAGCACGTGTGTGTGTGTTAACATTTTGTCTGCAAAACACAAACCAAGTGGCTGAACACGTACAAAGTGTTAGAAAGCTGGTAAATGAACTTATCATGAGGCCAACATTGCACTTACAGTACCTCACAATATGTTTCATTGGAACAAAATAGACACAACTTCAAACCTGCTTACTTGCAGACAGGACATGTCTGAAACATTTCGGCTCTATTGACACATGTTTTTTTATCCTGATTGTAAGTTTGCACTCCAAAGCACGTCTCACAGCCATACTGAATCAATATTGGAGGAGCAAAGCCCTTGTTCTCTGTGTTTATAGATCCGTTCCTTCTGCTGGACTCTGCTTCCTCTGCACATTCTGATCACTGTCTGTCTGCTGTCGACTGCTGACTGGAGAACTGCAATTTAGGCTGCCTTTATTTATAGACGATGGCTACGATAAAGTCCGGCCTTGTCCATTTTTGGTTGACAGTCATGGAGATTTGTAAAGAATATTTACAAACATGTGACCGAATTCAAGGTATTTATTATTGTATTATAACACTCGCAGCACATTTTGCAGATTGAAATGCTTCCGACTTTAATCTTAGCAATGTTTAATGTTATTACAATTCTCACGATGGTGCTATCTGAAGACATCATGATTACCCAGTAGGTGCAGATGTACTAAGGACCTGTCATTTGAAAAATGTCATATATTTATAATGTGCTGCACAATTATGTGGTAATATGCGTTCCTGAAAATCATCTACAGTAGTACCGACCTTTGTAGAATCTTCCTTCATGCACATCAAAATACTAACTGATAGCCATGCATATAGCTCTCAAGTTTTATGAAATGCAAATTATAGCGTTGAAGACAGGCGACAGTTTTCTTTTGAGAGAAGGTGCCCAGGCTATTAGGAAACTGTCTGCTGCTTTTAAATGAGATGAGAAAACTAAATGTGATTGCCCATTACTGAAGGCTAGGCCAACTCAATCATCTGATAATTCCTCAACAATGTATTCTTCCCATTTCATCGTTAACTCCACATTACGATTCTTCCCATAGTCGAGAATATTGCAAGAAATGTTGGTCATATCTAAGTTTGCACTGAGACATCGTGAACAGGGACATTTCATATTGAGCCTTTGATGTGTTTGTAAAAATAAACATTCATATTCACCTATCAATAATGCATTATGTTAAATGTCAAATGTATCTAGAAATATGCATCATGTAAGCACAATATAAAATGAAAAAAACAACTACATTTATTTTACATAAGGCATAGAATGAATGTAAATATATATTAAGAATACAGAGTACAGCTGCTGTACTGTAAACAATGGAAACACCTGAGCCCTATACTGTAAGTGCACCGTCATTAGCACTATCCCTAATGTGTACAGGGCCATGTTTGTAGTACTTAATAGAGCAAACCTATTACACTGCTATTTCCTCCTGTTAGGACTCATCTTCAATCTCAAACAAGTCATTACTAACCTTAGGAGGGTGCTACACTCGATAGATGTAGCCTAAATCATAAACTAACTTGAAAAATGTACTTTATCACCGATTCACCCCTAGCCCTTTTACCAAACTCAGACAAAGGGTCACCTCTTGACATATGCTTCAGGTCCATCGGTCTAGATAAGCGGACATGCAGTCCACTCCGCTTTGGACTAACTTTGTGCACGTGTGTGTCCTTGTGTATGTGTATGTGAGTGTGCTGTATGGATACTCTCTCCTCTCAACACCTTGCTTTCCTCAGATACTGACTCAGCAGCGACTGTCAGGTCTGCTTAATTTTGTCATGGTTGACTTCCTGCTACCTGGAGTCTCATCTGCCAGAGCCCCTTAATCCACTTGTCACTCACAACGACAAAAAGCTAGGAAGATGCTCCTTGAATTAAGGAAGTGGAGCATTGGTGGGTGAATGGGAGGGTAAGATTGGAGTTTTTTTTTTCTGCAGGTGCGCAGGTGCAGGTGCATGGCATCAACTGCGGGGGTTTCAGCGTTATGTAAAATGTCAACCATATTCCAAGAATATGCCTAGAAAAAGCACATATTTAATCCATGTAAGCAATGTCTTGTATGATAATAGCCAGATGAGGTTATGAATAAAGAGGTTGCGACATTTAAGCGATGGTTCTGTTCTCCGGCATGTTATAGCTGAATGGAATTAAAAATGCATTTACTCAATGCTACTTTAGCCAGACCCACAGGCGAGACGGGCATAAGGCGTGCAGCTGTTGCTTGGGATGAAGACATGGAAAGAGGATTGGCAGAATGGGCAGTCCTGAGGAGGTTTGGTGATGTAGAGAGGAGAGATATGTTTTATTAGTTTTCATGGATCTCTATATTCCGTCTGTGTCTAATTATGCCTCCAGGTTGCCAACACTACTGCTGATCTGCTATGAGAAAAACTAGCAGTTTTTGTAGACACCAATACAATAAGCAAACATATTGGCTGCTTATTCTGCAACCACCTATAGTGCTGAATGAGCATGATTTTAAAAAGCTCGCCCCAATGGATTAGATTTCGGTTTAGGCATTTTGCTGAAGGATTTTTTTCTCAAATTAGTAAAACTTAAAGATATTATTTCTGTAGTCCCAAGACATCTGAATTCAATCAAATGGAATATAAGAACTTCAAACAGCAATTCATGCCGTCATGTTTGAATAATACAACCCATTAATCTAAGCCTCAGATGAGACTTTACTGGCATCGTTGCCATAGTCAGATTAAAATGGATGGTGATGCTAATAGTGTGATTAAAAAAAAAAGAAAAAAAAAAAAGAACCCTTGTTGATATACTTTTATTGTAGAATTGCATTTTTAAGGCTCTAAATATGGGATTCAACTTGTTAATCAGCAGTAGAAATAGTGCTTTATTGGAACCCACACTATCAGGAGTCCCCAGATAAATAAAAAAAAAATCCTTAAAAACACATGTCTCTTCAAATAATCCCAAATTGCAAAATCTCTCAGTAAATCTGATTTGAATATTAAAGTAACACGTGTTAAGAATTAAGGTATATACAATCATGTGACATTCCAAGTTCTATAAGGTGCAGCCTATTTTCCAAACTGCTATCTGCTAAGCAATGTGTTATTTCAGACCCAGAAAAAAACCCAGAGAAGTCTAAATAATGATGCTCACCAGAGCTTGAAATTAACATGAGCTAACTCACTCAGTCTAGGTTCAATTTGACTGTGGCAGGTAACACCTACAACACAACCTGCAGGCTTTGTTAGCTGAGGATTTCTGACCCTGTTTCCATATCAACACAGTACTTCTCTGCTACTGAGGCTTCAACTGTGTGTGCGTTAATGTATTCTCTCCCTCCTACTCATTTGAAAATATATACATTAGTTGATAAAGTGGTATGTTTTCCATTCTTTCATCCCCAGTGCAGTAGTTGTTTTATTGTAGCAGAAGGGCACACGAACACATTGTAGTCAGGATTGCAAATGTTAAAAGAGAGGCTGAATGACTTTTGCATAATTGTTTTGTTTTTTCTCCCAATACACTTGTAGACATAGCCCTTTTTCTTTATCTGTGATGTGATGTATTTTGTTTATTTACTTATAAGTGAACATACTTGGGTGGAATAAATTCTCTAAATACACTGATGCATTTTGGTAATCAACGCTTGGTTCCTCTGGGTTATCCGGGTCCCCAAAGCTATACTGGGAGCGAACAGTCTATATGCTGCTGAACTGCTGACTTGTTAATCAAGTTTACATCTTCAGACATTCCTAAAGCCATGTTGCATGTTCAGGTTTGCTCAGACTTTATTTTTGTAGTTTCTGGGTATGTATTGCTTTGCAAACTAGTTGGATATCAGCAAGGACATAGCAGTATTGTATATTATTTATTGGTATACGGATATATTAATGTAAAATATTTGTATACCAATATCAAGCACAATTTCTGGGAAAATGCCGCTCTCATGTTGATTATTATCCAAGCTGATGCCACCTCCCTTTTAGCCTGAGACTAGAATAAACATTTGGGCTACCTACTGAAAATTGCTCAGGAGAAAGGTTTTTTTTTAAAACTCTGATCTGATGTGGTTTAACTTGATATAATGTCTACTTCACAGTTGCTTTCACCAGCCCTGTCTCCTCGATGTCCCTGGATGAATGAGCATGTGAATGACCAGAGCCGGCAAGCAGTTGCAGGCAGTGCACTCACACGATCTGAACAACAGGCAGCCAGAAAGAGGTGACTGTCTTCAGCTTCAAAATAAAGGTTATTTTTTAATTAAGTATTACATTCAATCGGCTCCCATCCCGCACTCACTCACACTGTGGTGGTTTCTTTTTGTGAACACCTACTCCTCTTTATAAGTACCTTTGTGCAATATGTTAATTATGTAAGCTTGTGTATTAAAACGAGCTTATCTGTATAAAGCTACCTCACAGCTTATGCTGATGTTATCTCATTTAGATGCACTTTCTAGATATTTTAGTTTTTCAGTTACATTTATTTGTATTACACAGTCCGCCATCTGTCTCTGGAGGAAGTGAGAGTAAGGTGTTTATGTGACTGTGAAATCACATGGTTTATGCAGAGGACGGTAAACCATGTTTTTGTTTTCTGGACAGGATATTCTGGCTTAGATTTAAACATGTTGTTTTGGTTGCCAATAACCTGATCCAACCAGATCAGAAAAAACTGATAAGGGTTTTCTTATAGGCCACTCACAAAGTGCTCTTGTGTTGTTTTGTCTCTTCAGTTCTTTGTCAAATTAAGGTGAAATAGCAAAGAATACAAAAAAAAAAATTCATTGTAATAAAATGTATTATGGTAAACAAAAACAAAAAAACTGTATTCCTATGTTTTCTTAAATCCAGTTGTCAAAATAGTATTTGTCAGTAATCTCAACTGTATTTGATCGCACATCTTCAATATGCACAAACCTTGATGGCATTGGTGGAAATTTGGATCTCATGCAGCTTCCTCATCGTCCCGTCACGGTCGATGAAGTAGGACGAGGCCAGCTGATGAAGAGCTTCCACGTTCTGAGTAGCATTGACAAGCTTCCTGTCCAGCTTGTTTTTGGCCAGGTACATAGTCAGTGCCTCCTCTCCTAAAGGGAGCACAAGGAAACAAAAACAAGTTTAATATTATTGATACTACCTTTGAAGTTTTTTTGGGGGGGAAAAAGTACTTGAATTAACAAGTAAAGTATTTAGGATCTCACAAAAATGATCATGATTTAAGGGGCACCAAAAGAATATTGTGAGTGTACAGTAGACATCTTCATTTGTGAGAATTGTCCCATGCAGGCTTATCTCAGAAGCCAATAGAGCTCTTAACAGGAGGGATAATACAGACAGAGTCTGAATATCAGAGAAGGCACTTTTAGCTTGAGAAACCAGATGCCCCAGTTTTCCAGGAACAGTCTCTGTATTTGCTGCTTCATCCCTAGCTGGCACCATCCCCAGAAATGTCCCCGGATTTACCCCTACTGGGATGGTATTATTTCCATGAGAGGTCTAGTGATATAGAATTTGTACCTCAAGACCACAGGAATTGTATCCTGTGGAGAAAAAATACATTACATCCGGTATCTTTTTTCCACAGCTTCCCCAGGCAGAGAAAGACAAATTGAAGGTAAACAAAGAAATTGAAAATAACATAACCGTTTGCAGAGATTTCATTAGTGCAGAGAAATTAGTAAAATTGCAATGAGTACAGGAGGTTAATTAGGAGTCACTTGGGAGGGATTGTACCTGTTTAACTGTAATGCGGCATTGTGTGGCCAGTTCCTAGATAACCAGAGTCTATCCCATTTTTCCTCTGGAAAATAAATGAAATTATCTGCGGATGGTTAAAAATGTAATTACTGACCCGTCTGGTGATAATAACACTGCCTGCAGGGTTGTTTTCTGTTTCTTTCTCTTTTCCTCCATACCACTTCTTGTTCTATTCTTTCGAACAATGGTTTTAAACCAAAGAAGAATACTTTTAAATGCCACGTTGTTTTCTCTTGAATCAACAGCAATCTGTTTGGTGTCATGCTGGCATAAGTATCTGCCAAATGAGTTTTAGAAATCAGATGTTAGCCAAACACTCCTAATGATCCATTGTTATCTTTGTTTGTTGTTGCTGTCATTTCTGAAAAATGTAGATTTAGTGGAACCTGGAATTCTTACTCTTTTGCTGAGGCAAAGTGAAAAAGCCTTTAGTGTGAAGTGAATTTAAATCCAGCTCAACTGCAATAAGGTCACAACTACTGTGGATATTAAGGATTATGCACACATACAAATCAGCATGTCTTTTATCTCTTTCCATTAATGCAGTACTATGCCCAGATTCATATCTGTGATGTGGGAAATTAAGCCTCACCAGATGTGTGTACAGTATGTACAGTATGTTGAGTTTGAAAGTCCACAGGAGAACTGTGAGGGGGTGTACTTAAACCTAACCACTGACCTTTCAGTAAGCGTCTGCGTGCTCCAAAAGGAGATTTTTCAAGCAGTAACAGGGCCAAATATTTATAGAGCACCAGACAATCTCTCCAATTTGCATGGCATGTTTGTTTGTTGACTCAATAAAAATGGTTGAGCTGCTCATCCTTTACACATCATATTTTTCCCCATCTCTCACTCCCGCGAGCAGAAACAGACGCATACAAAGCAAACAGACATTTTCCCGCGCGAGCACACACAAACTTGCCTTCGAAGATTACTGTTCAAATGGCAAACCTTATGCCTGGAACTCTTTCAAGAGCATGTCACATATGTTCAGGTTTCCAGTGATGTGAATGGTTATTTGGCCCCTAGCGATGCATTGGAATTGGTCACTTAACTTGTGGTGACCATGTGTAAGGGTGGGTAGCAGTCAGGGCAAATGTCTCATGCCTGGTTAGAGTAGAAGCACTGAAGGGACAAAAGCCCATTCTCTGACGCTGCCATGCCCTTTTACCCTCGGGGTGAGCAAAGTTACTTACACACACTTAATTTACACTACTGCGCAAGAATAACGGTCTCACATTAAGCCCTTTTTATCTCCATTGCATCCTAGTGTGGCATAAAGGAGGCTCACTGTACATAAATACTGTGTGGTTATTGCTGCTGGTCTGGCTAAATCATTTCCTCCGAGGCTTTAAAAAATTCATCAGTGTGCACCTTTCTGTAAGTAATACATTGTGTTACATTATTACGGGGCTCCTTGCTGGGACACTGCCAGAATTAATCAGCTCATGCAGAGCGTATGTGTTAACAGCTCAGAGGTATTTTAAAACAATGTACCTCGAACAGTGTGTGTAAAGGTGTCTCCTACAGATGTACCTTTTCTTTTTTGTGTGTGCAAGCATGTGGATATCAATGAGGGTTAGAAGGGCAAGTATGGTTTAAAAGTAATGGAATTGCTGGGAGTGCTATTTGGTGTTAATGGTACATGTGTGGGTCACTTTATGGAGCATATTAAACTATACCGCTTTATACCGTGCAGCGGAAAGACGCTAGTGGTTATTATCGTTGTTTATTCTATACGATTTTCAAATACCACCCTTTAGAGGAACATAATATATACACACATTGAAACGTATCCTGCGTTATTCTTTTAATGTATTTGTAAGTCTTTTGTGAAGCTTGGCATATCATAATAATTGTTTTGTGATTGTTTAGCATTTACAATAATTGTGTGTATGTTTCAAATATGTCAAAAAAAAAGAGGAAGAAACCCGACTAAGCAAATTAACTTTGTTTTCTTACATTAATCAGGAAAACATTTTACAAACACCATCTCTGACTATACTGTTATAATTCATCCTTAAAAACAGGTGTATATCATTCCTAAAATAAAAAAATATAACAACTGCAAACGCATAATACAGTCCAATAAGTAGAGGAATGAATTCAACCAATTTTCTACTCAACCATACTGTAACTCGATTGTCTCTGCTTTATGCAAGAGATATTCTGAAAGGGAAGCTGTTGCTTTGAGATAGCCACGGTCTCAATGGCCAATTATACCCTGTGCATTTTGTGTTGGTGGCATGACAAGAACAAGTAAAAAAAAAAGTTAGGTAGCATCAACAGCTGCAGGGCCGTCTTCCAATACAACCCAGGGCCCAGTCAGGGCTCTGCATATGAACTCTAGCCTCAGGCTTCAGTGACCACAAATCATTTCAATAAACTACTTCCACCTCTTCAATGCTGACAGCATGAGACTGGGGCGCTGAAGAGGTCTCCGATCCAGTCATAGTGTTGAGTATGCAGGAGAGAGTAGGAGGGCAAATGAGGCCTCACAGCTGAGATACAGTCCCTCCTACATGTGATATATTTTATTTGGTCAGTAACGGTTATTTCCAGAGGCAGCCTGACCTTTAAGCGAGACCAAGAAAATGTGGAAACAAACCGTTTTTTTGAAAACGGAAATAAGAGATACTAAACGATAAAATGTACCATTCTTCAAATCATGAGGCTATGCAACCTTTTATGATCTGGTATTGTCAGTTGTGATATATTTTGGGAAATCTTAGAAGTTCATTGTGCTGTGTTCTCGACAATGCTGGGTGTTGAATTTCGAACTTACTGTTTAATCAGACGTTACAAAATCCCTCTTTCAGAGTTAGTGGTGTGTCATTTTGACCTCTAAAGCCCAAAATACAATGGCATTTATAAAAAGTAGTTTTAGTCAATTTAATGTTCACAGCTACTCTAAAATGAACACTTGCATCTCGCCTCTCTCTCCAAACTCAATTCCCCCTCAGCACGGATACCAACAGATTTCACAGCGAGAGAGCAGCGTTCTCACTCAAAGTGTAAAACTGATTTCAAACATATGATGCAGAGGGAATGACAGATGGGGTGAAATATGACCCTCACAGCTTTAGCTTAGCTCTAGTCAAATGCAAATGCATGTCCTTCACACCTTTTCTGGGAGCACTACCTTCCTCTTGCATTTATACTCAGCACAGCCTTTGTTGTGCATCGACTCTTTGGCCGTTCTATAGCCCTGAACACAAAGGTTTGACTTCTACAGTCAATAAGCACCTTCAGTTTTGTTCTCAGTGGCTGCAGGCAAACCAAAGACGTCAAACATCTGCAGTATGTCAAACTGTTTTGATGTATTATTTCAGTTTTAAGCTTTAGAACTCAGTTTAATGCTGAGGCATCGACTCACAGTCGTGGTCTCCTTTGTTGGGAAGTCTAAGATGTGTTCATTCTGGTTTGGCTTCAAGTGTTTTCCGCGCACAGCATGCACATAGGATACAGTCAGGTCATGTGTTGAACTTCAAAATACATATCCCTTGATGCCTACATAAAGCTTCCACATATGCCAGTGACTTCGCTTCGGGAGGTACGAGGTAGTTAAAACGTTCAAACGGCAGAAAAGCAGCAGATAATTGATAATTATTTCCTAAAACATCTCCGGCAGATGCTGTCAGTCAGTAGCAGAGAAAGTAACAGGAAATATTCCTCTCTTAAATGCTTGTTTAAATGTTCACCCTTACAAGAGTATTGAATTACCATATTCCAACTTGCAAAGATGACAAAAGTTAAAGATGGCAATATTAATAAGACTATTATTGCCATGTTATCTTGCAATAAACATGTGCTCTACACGTTAAAAATGTGAAAGTATAACAACTGCAGCAGAAGAAGTGAGTCATCCCCCGCAGCACTCTTTACCTCTCCTTCAGCATTAGCAACCAGTCAAAAACAAATGAAATCTATAACCCTTTATATTCAGTAAAGAGTGTCTCCATAAATCCAGACATAAACAAAGGCTATTGTCACAAACAGTTTTTTGTTCTCTGGGGGCGTTGATGCCAAGTGCTTCCAGGCATCACGGGCACCATTGTTTGAGACAGGAAAAGAGGCCAAGGGACAATGAAATACAAACAAAAAGATAAGGACATAAAAAAAAGGTCAAACCCCTCTCGTAGAATCCTAATACTTTACTTAAGTTAGGGCTTTAGTTTTAAAAATTGGAAAAGGGATGGCATTGTATAATCCGTTGAAAGGATTAAATTAGTGTCCTCAGCAAAAAACAATAGCACAGTGTCTGTCGGTGCCATAGGCAGAGGAAGTGGGAAGTTTTACTTTGGCACAATGTCTTAGGGAAAAAGGAAGG